CTTTTGTAGTTCTGTGGTATGAATGCAATAGTTTTAGGGACCCAGATGAACAAAAGTCCTTCTTTTTTCATATTTCTCAGTACTTGGCTACTCATGGAAACAAACTTTCTTCTTCATGGCCATGGTGTTGAAAGAATGGGATTAATCCAAAGGAAATCAGATAGTGAAACATTTATTTATCCTGATTAGTCTTCTGCCTGTTTTCAGAAGTATTTGAAGAACTGTAACAAAGAGCAGATATCCTAAAATTCCCTAGTGAACACGATTGCCCCCTCTGTCTTATGAACTCTACCAGATCTTCTGCTTGTATTTCTCTATTGGAAGTTGTCAAGTTATATCTTGTGTTATTGTTTCTAGTATTTGTCTGGTTCTATTCTGGTAATCTTGAATAGAAAGACTGTCTGGATTAGGGTTCTCCAGAGAAACAGACCAGTAGGTTATCTCTCTCTCACTATCATTTACCATCTATTGATTTATTAAAAGGAATTTAATTTATTATTTTATTTTATATATTTAGATACTTATTATTTTAAAAAGTATTTTCTTATTTATTTATTATAAGGACTTATACATAATATATCCATATAATATATATTATGATTCAGCTGCATTTAGGATATAAATTAACACATATTTCACATTCTATGTGAACTATTTTGATAAAATTATAGACCACGTACACATTACTTACAGGTTGAGTCTTATTGAGAATCATAAATTGAGTCTGTAGGGAAAAAGTTTGGAGTGGGTAGTTGGGTGGTCACAGTTCTTATACACCTACATCTAGAATTCAGAATTCCTTTTCCTTAACTGATGATGATGTTAATAAATATCCCTAGTTGGGTAGCAAATACTATAAAATATGATTTTTCCCGAACAGCTAGAGAGCACAAAAAAAGAACCATTCATTCTAGTTAATGACTTGATTTTTCTTTTATTTCCTTCTCCTTCTTTTTAATTTTCCTTAAAAACTAAAATGAACGAAATCATTTCACCCTTTTTGGCGCTTTTACGATTTTGTCAGGAAGACACTTCTTCCAAATTTTAGGAAATTACGAATGCCTTCCTAAGTCACTCATTTTCTTTTTCTCTGCCTGTCTTCCGTTGCAGTGCTTAACTTGCAACTCAGCCATCATCCTGCCTCTATGCTGCCCCTCACTGCCTTTGTTCTTTAGAAGACACTCATTAACATTTGTTAATGTATGCTAATGAGAAGTAATTAGCATCTTCTGTGCGGAGCTGGGAAGGAGGGATGAAGACCGCACCGAGTTCAGCCAGCCTTGCTTCCTGCCTCTTTATGCTCTGGGAACAATCTTCTGCTTTCAGTTGTTACACATTTCTTTAGTGCTTTTTTGTTTGTTTCATGTTGTTTGTTTACCCCTGAATCTTGACAAGCATTCTTCTTTGTGACTTGGAATATCGCAGAAATGCTTGGGGGGAGGGAAAAGATTCCTTTTTGTTCTAAGCAATCCACGGATGTAAGCGTAACTGCCAAGGGCTTACAACACATTATTTTCATCTGGTTGTTATTTTGGTATCCTATTACTATAAAAGATTTTAGCCACAAAAACTCACACAAGAGAATGTATTTTCGTTTCAGCACACTTATTTACAGTGGTTGCTCTTTATGGTGGTAATTGAGATGTGAGAACACACACGCTGAATATATATGTTATGACAGCGTGGTTAAATAAGAAATGTCCCCTCCCCCAGAATATTCTAAATGTGCAAAGAAAAAGCAAGACTCACCATTTAATTCCCCCCTCCCCGCAACCACGGAGAGCTCTAAAGGTCTTTGTAAATAGCTATTTATTGAATATGAATAGTTAAAAAAAAATAAGCCAGCGCCCCAAACCAGATAGAATAAGAGCTGCTGTTTTTGTTTTTCTGTAGACCAATGGTGTCATAAAATATCTAATTACAGTTTCTCACAAATAATCCAGTATATAATTCACTGTTTGAAGAACTATGCTTTAGCATTTTATATTTCCTCTTCCAGCTAAAGGGTGGTAGAACTTGGAAACATACCAGCTACCTACTCGGCCTGTGTTTAATTTTAATTTCATGTACAATAAAAACAGAAGGAAAAATGTGCGAAAAAAAAATTGGTGTGCATGCCCTTACCCTCCTTCTTATGTATATAAAAAAGATTATTATCATTGTAAAAGGTTAGAAGGGGGATTTTTATTTTGAGTGAATCTCCTTTTTTCTCTCTGGTCTCAGGGTTGGCCATTTTCTCTCCAGGACCTTATAGTTAAATGTGTTTCTCCACAGAATTCATCCTGTTCTGTTTGGCAACTACGATATTTTATATTGCGTTTTTCAACAAAGCAGACATCAGCAGCTATTTGTTCTCTACTTCTTAAGGGCTTCACAGCCTCAAAAAAATAAATATAATCTAGAAGGAAAAATATTGGAGAATGACAATGACTATAGCAGTTGAATTTCTTGCCCACTCCCTCCTTTTGGGTGGTTGAGTCTTACCAAAAGTCAAAATTATTATTTTTTGTAATTTTATAAACACTGCAATTTTAAATAACTGTTTCATATCTCCAAGATATTATAATGATTGAAAATATGACCAGCCTTTTGGCACTTATTTTAAAAGTTTTCATTAGTGTGGTTTTGAATGTATGTGCTCCGTGGTCCATTTTCTCAATCGTCTTAAGGAAGATAAGAAGGATGCTGACACCTGCAGAAAAAATATCAGCCCCAATCTGTCAAAATAAACTTCTCCCCCAGAATCCTTGATGATATTCAAATGTAATGATCTTAATTTGTTTTTTTTTTCCCACTCCAAGGATTTTGTAAATGTCTTATAGTTTACAGGTTTTTACGTTATTTGAATGATATAGGAACTAAAGAAATCTTCTCTACTCAATGGCTTCCAACTATTATGCTTAACTCCATCATTTGAAGGTGTTGAGGATATAAACAAATGTCACAAGCATCTTCTTGTCCTTCCCCAAAAGTAACAAAAATAAAGGGAGCTGCTGATTTAAAATGAATCAGATTTCATGTGTTGGGTAGGTTCTGTTCTTGAGGAAGAAGAATCACATCCCATCATTTTCATTCGATTTTGCTGACAGTGCCTTCTGTTCCCTATTTTGCACCCATCAATAACTGAATGGAAGCAGGATGCTGGGGCATTCTCTGCAGGGGAGAGGATACCTTAATGTGGTTTGTTTGGTGACTTGATCTAGCATCCAAGTGTCTCACTGGTGGGAGATTCTTCTTTATGGCTAACTTTACTCATTCCTTTTTGAAATTTGGGTTGGTTTACCTTCTGTTTGGTTTTTAGAAAAGCAAAATATCTAAATGTTGTTCTTGGCTATAACTTAAACACAGCTTATACATACATACATACGTACATACATATATACCTATAATTTTCTCCAGATCATAATTACATCACCATCATCATCATTACTATAATCAAAAATTAGCAACTTGAGCAGCTACTGGATGGCATCAGACCTAGAAATTTCAGAGCATAAAATTTACAGTGTCTATTCCTAAGGAGTCTGCGGTTAAAAGATATTTCTAAAAATCGTAGCTTACTTTTCATAGTTTCACTCGTCAGTTTTCTCTCTTCTTTTTTTTTTTTCCCCCTTGAAAAAAGAGATTTCATGTTTTTGGTAAGGGGATCATAACTCTTCTTCCTTACAGAACAAGGCAAACTTTACTTTGGAATATACTCTTTTAAGAAAAAAGGTACTTTTATTTTGTTTGTTCATATTATCTAGCTCTTTGACCTTCACATTCTTGTTCAAAAAGTATTGAAGGAAGAAATAGCTGAAGACAGTCTAGATTTTGTTAACTTGAGGTGTTTCTAAACTTTGAAATATCCTTGAGTACATGAATTTAGAATTTATAACATTTCGTATTTATAATATTTATTTACGTAAGTATAAGAATGCACGTGTGTTTAATTATAACACGTAGCAAAGACAAAATGCAGTGTTTTGCTTTGTATTTATATTTTTCCCCTCTTATTTACTGTAATCTCACTTCATTTTTGCCCTTTTATCTCCCTTTATTTGTTGTATTCTTCCCTTCTTCTTACTCTTCCCCATTTTTCTTTTTCTCTCTTCTTCCCTCACCACCCTTTGTCCCATTCTTTTGAACTGCTATACAGTGGACACTATATATAAGCGAGGGGTAAGTTGCCCCATCTCTTTACAAAGATTCAGTCAGAGACGCACAGCTCAGGAACAAAACCAAAAATCACATCAGTGAACTAAAACAATTCAGAATCTATGGGGCTGCGTTGAGTAATATTATCTTTTCATAACCTACGTCAATTTCTCATTCTCACTGGATCTCTGCCATCAGCATGTAAACACATTTTGGCTAGAATAACCAACTGTCTCCTATTCCTCACTGCCCCTTCTCTTGTAAAGCCACTGAAATTCAGGCTTTTCCTTATACCGTGTCACTAAACATCTGCTTGCCAAAGTCGACATTGACCTCCACACTGCAAAATCCAATGGTCAATTTTTAGTCCTCATTATATTTGAGTTATAAGCCTACGACACATTTCTTATTTTCCTCCTACTCCACTGATTATTCATTTTCAGTGTCTTTGGTTGGTTTTTCTTCTCCCTGTCCTCTCAGATTTTGAAGTTTTCTTTTCTGTTTTGTTTATATTCATTTACCTGGTGATCTCACCTGGTCCTGTGGCTTTAACTAGCATCAGTGAGCTAATAATTCCCAAATGTGTATTTCCAGGCCAGACTTCTCTTCTGAACTCCAGACTCAAATATCCAACTGCCTACTCAACTCAAGCATGGGTGTCTAATAGACAACCCAATTCCAGTATGTCATATTAAACTCTTGATCTTCAGCTCCTCCCACCGAGACTATTTTTCCTATAGTCTTTTCATCTCTTTTTTCTTCTGACTCTACCTTTCCAGGTGCCAAGGGTGAAAACCTTCTGATTGTCCTTGATTCTTTTCTTCCTCTCATATTCCATGGACATCACATCCCATACTGGTGGCATGGGTTCTTCAGGTAAGATTCAAAAATGTCCTGGTTACAGCATAGATGCATATCCCTTCCAACGCAGTTTAGTCTGAGGTGACATGTGTCTCATTTATATGGGAAGGACCGAAGTTGACATTTCCTCACACATAGAAAAAAAAAAAAAGAACCCTGAAAAGAAACACACAAAGAAGCCAAATAAACATAACTAATACATCACTGCTACCACCCAGTGAAGCTAGATAAGATATTCGTACCTAATCTTGCATCTCATTTATACAGTCATTCTTTTGCATAAAATAGCAAGATTCCTTAAGGACACCTTATGTTTTCTTTTATACTCTACAAACTTCCTCCCCAGACTATTTTGCACTGTATTCCCTTGCGAGTGTACAATAAATGCTAATTGGATGAACAAGCTTTTCAGTTTCCAGAGTAATCACCTAGTGCTCCAAACATCTCTTCAAGAGCTCAGCGTGGGTTAAAGGAACAGGCAACACCACTTAACTTTTCTGGCCACTTGGCTACCTTGAACCTGAAGAACCATAAACTTTTAGTGCTATAGATTAAAAAAGAAAGCCTAGAACAACAACCACTTCTCCAAACGATTCCGATGCCTCTAAAATGTGACATTTTGCTGTTGTTTCCTTTTACTGTTTTTAATTACTGGGTCTATTTGCATGAAATGAGGATCTGGGTTGCCTAGGCGTTCATCTGCTCCGATTGCATATTCCTCTCTTAAATAGCATTCTTCAGTGCGGCTTTGCTTGCCGCCTCCAACGTTTTTTTTAATCTTTTTTTTTTAAAGATTTTATTTATTTATTTGAGAGAGAGAGGATGAGAGAGAGCACGAGAGGGAAGAGGGTCAGAGGGAGAAGCAGACTCCCTGCCGAGCAGGGAGCCCGACGCGGGACTCGATCCCGGGACTCCAGGATCGTGACCTGAGCCGAAGGCAGTCGCTTAACCAACTGAGCCACCCAGGCGCCCCTCCTTTGCCTATTTTTTTATTTTTATTTTTTTAAAGATTTTATTTATTTGAGAGAGAGAGAATGAGAGATAGAGAGCACATGAGAGGGAAGAGGGTCAGAGGGAGAAGCAGACTCCCTGCCGAGCAGGGAGCCCGACGCGGGACTCGATCCCGGGACTCCAGGATCATGACCTGAGCCGAAGGCAGTCGCCCAACCGACTGAGCCACCCAGGCGCCCTGCCTCCAACGTTTTGACAGGACCTCCCCCTCCTCTCCTTTCACCATCCTCCCATCACTCTCCAGGAGAGAGTTATTTTTAAAGGACATAATCAATAGACTTGGGAAGCAGCCAAAGCATGAGGGGGTCATATGATCGGGAATAAGCTACCAGGGATTGCTGAGAGAAGGGGTGGCAACAGGCCATGCCCAAAAATTGTCTGAGGAGGGAAAGACTGCCTGTAGCTCCCATTTAAGTGTTCTGAGGTATTCTTTTGCACAGGGTTTTGTCTTGGAGGGGTTTCTTAGCTCGGTTCTTTAGCTTCGCTTTGAGTTGCAGGGGATATGGACCACAACTGACAGTAGCTTTTCAGGTCAAATAGTGTTCCATCAAAATCAAGGTTGGTCTGAGGCACTTGAAGGAGTCTTAAATCTGGCCACAGTGCTGCTGTTTAGTTCTTGATGCTGATGATGCCTTTGCTGAGGGTTGAGTCAAGAACAATCCAATTATCACAATAACTAGGAAGACAACTGTTTCATTGCCCCTGACTCAACTGCCAAGAGGATGCCGTTGAGTAGAGAAAGCACCTAGTGAGAATGTGCAGATGATCATGCACAGGTGAATATCACTTTCAGAGGGTCACCTCAAGAGGCGGGAAGGGGCTATTTCTGCAACATTCTCCATTCCATCGCTTAGAAACCCTAGCGCTTTTTTAGTTCTTTACTTGCAACCACAGGGATGTCTCCTCTGACAGATTTTTAGGTTTTATTTAATAGCCATTTATTACTACCCTTCCTGTACTTGAGAAGATGATCCATGACTTATGGCCCTGCCTTTTCTCCTCCCCTGGTTATCAGAGGAAATGGATTTGTTGCTCATCTCCTTGGCTAGGGACATTTCATTCTGCTGTTCTTATTTAACATATGATCCTTCCTAAAGATTTGCTTATATTTTTGTTCCTTTAATAATTGTTCTGTTTCATTTCATCACGTCTAGTGAGTTGATTGTTATAAATCAGTATAGTATCTTGTGTGGCTTTTGCTTTGGCTCTGATGTTAAAGAATAAGCTGTGGGTCAGTTCTTGCTGTTTGTCCTTTAGCTGTTCTTATAGACACAGATCGGACTCTGCTCCAAGGCTAACCTTCTAGCATTCAAATGCCTTCCTAGGGAATTCTTCCTTGACTGAAGAAGCTTGGTGGTGGCATTAATTACAAATAAAAGTCCCAGGCCGATTGTTAAATGCAAAACATCTTCTTAGAAGTGTCTGCCTTCCCTCTTGCGGACTCTCAGTAGTGACATAAAGATCTTTGTCCCGCGCAGATCCAGTTACAGCCGGTAACAGAAGCACGTGTCCCACCCGGAACAAAAGAACACTTATTTTCACATTCCATGGCTGAAGTTGAGTGATAACATTTTTGCATATCCTAAAAATTTTTATGCAGATGCTGTTTAAAGGCAAAAAGTGCTTTTACAATGATCTTCTTTGTGAATGGAATTTAAACTCTTGGCAGGCGTTCCGTTTTCAATGTGCCTGTCAAGTTCTGAAAAATAACCTTTGATGGTCTGTGAGCAGAAACAAAACAGAGGTTGTTGCCTCTGTTGGCAGCAATGTTGTTTTGTCATCTTTACTTTCTCAGACTCAGGCTCATCCGACTTAAGTAAAAATATGATACAGTTACTATTTTATAAACAGGTGACTAGACTATGGTTTTAAAGACATAGGCGACTCTCATTTTTACCTGGGCAAATTGCAGAGCTTTGTCTCTGGCTGAGACCTGTGATGAATGGATAGTAGATGACAAGTGGAAAAATCTGCCAATTAATATATTTTCACGTATTATTAGACAATTACAATTTTTTTAAACGTTTTGATGCCTTTGCAAAAATAGAACAAAAGTAAAAAGAAAAAACAGTCTTGAGTCTGGGGTGAGGAAGACACAGACAAAATTGTTCTTTGTTTTGAGAAGAACTGCAAAATCACCTGTTCCCACATCGTCAAGGTAAATCCTATGTTGGAAAATTTAGGCTGTCTCCATGTGTGACCTACAGAGATCACTGAAATAGGAAATATCAGCCTTGCAACATTTTCTGAAAGGCTCTTTGACACTGGTAACTGGTTAGAATAAAATGTTCTCTATTTTAATGTTAATTTGGTTCTAATAACATTGTTTATGCATGTGGATATAGCTTTACTAACAATGCAATTTATCATGGAATGCAATGACCCAGCAAACCCCAAGTCTACTCACTACAACACGGAATTTATTTTGGTAACAGTTATATCCAATTGAGCTGACAGGCTTATAATTGATATGTTTTGCAAGTCTTTGAAGGCAATGAAGCAGAGAAGTCTTTGCACAACACTGTCTAGGATGCCATGGCTGTATATCTTTAATAAACAATGCTGTTTTTGACAAGATCGCTGAAAAATGTTTGCATTAACCACACAGAAAACTTTATGATGAAAATAATAACAATAAAATCCCGTTACTAACCACTATACTGTCATTTAAAGAATTGCTGTATTTGTCCTTTCTTCAACAGTGCAAATTCAAGTGGAGGAAAAAGAAGATGACACAGAAGAAAGTTCAAGTAAGTGGGGAGGGACCCACATGGAATGAGTTTCCTGTAGAATAGCAGTGAATTCAGGGCACTTGTCCTCTCATCTTGTTGGATTATTGTACTACATGTGAGTGCATGCTACCACATGTGTGGAAAAATTTGATGCTCTCACAAAAGAGATCAAGTCCAGCAAATGGAATCTCCACTCTAGATTCCATTAATTGGCACACACACATTCTACCCAAAGTATAAGTTACTCATGATCAGGTAGATGGTAGTTCACAAAAATTTGCTTTTAAAAATTTCTCTACTATTTTCGCTGTTAAGGTCTTTGTCCTAAAAGCTCTTCTCTACGGCTCAATCTATTATAATAGAACAGATTGGCCATTTTGACTGAATTGATCAGGTGGTTCAATTAAAATGAATAAGCACATTCTTTTGTACTGAATTTGTAAGGAATTCATGGGTATTTTTGAATTGCTCTGTTGTTTTTACTTTGTGTAGGTTTAGCTTAAGAGTTTGGAGTGTGATCCCTTGTATACAGACAACTCATGGACTGGAGCATGGGAAAGATCATTATATGAGCAAAAGCTCTGAATTTACTAAAACTGAAAGAAAGAGCAATATCTCAAGAAGAGTTCAATTAGAGGATATGTCAACACCATCAATGTAATAACCTGAGCACAATATGGCAGCCAGGGAATGTTCATGATGCCGAGTGTTTTCAGTCATTTGATGCATTTTACATGCAAACAGCTCAGAGTCTCACACAGACTCTGCATGTCATGGCTTGAGTACTGGAGGGGAGGAAAAATAATTTTCCCTCTAGCCTTCTGAGTTGTTAGCTGGGACCTCTGTAATATAAGATAGTTTAACAAGAGAAAAAACAAACAGAAGTTTATTAATATGAATACCTCATGTATACATGAGAGATTTTCAGGAAAAATAAGTCACTTTATGAGGTGGCTTAGAATTTAGACTTAAATACCATCTTTTTTTTTTTTTAATGATTTTTATTTATTTATTTGAGAGAGAGAGAATGAGAGAGAGCACGAGAGGGAAGAGGGTCAGAGGGAGAAGCAGACTCCCTGCTGAGCAGGGAGCCCGATGTGGGACTCGATCCTGGGACTCCAGGATCATGACCTGAGCCGAAGGCAGTCGCTTAACCAACTGAGCCACCCAGGCGCCCTTAAATACCATCTTATTAAGGAAAAAAGAGGGGGTGTGTAGGCCTTTTTAGGAGAGAACAAATAATTTTTAGGAAAGGTGAGTGGGCCCTTTGAAGACTAGATTGGAGGCATGATTGTGACAAAGTTTGTCTGGGTGTGGTATTGACTTCTAGAGTCTTCCCTTGTGATGAATCCAGTCTTCCCTAAGGGTGAAATTCATGGTGAGGGGATTTAGGACAATTCAGTTCCTCTTGGAGGATCTGTGTTTGGGCAGAGGAGGGGAGTTCAGGAAAAACCTCCCAAGGCATTTGCTGTTATTCAAATACCTACAGCTGGATATAATCAACATAACAAAGTGGCTCAGCTTGGGGTGGTATGTCCTGAGCTCTTGCAGTCATATTTTGAGGCGGCATATTCCGCTATCCTTCCATACTGAACGGAGACCATTTCAAACGGTAAAACTTTATGCAACTCTGCATTTAGCCAGCAACTGCAAAATAATGATTATTTGTTTTAGAATTTGAATATTTGGAAACCAGTGAAGGCACTAAGAACAGCCTTTTTGTTGCCAAGTGGTAAAAGAGAAATCGGATATAACACTTTTCATCCACGGTCAAACTGCAAGTTTAATAGGTTAGTCTTAATACAAAATATCCTAAAATGCATAATACTAAGTGGCTGTTTGAGTTCTTGAGTTATTTGTGGGAAAATTGTTTCTCGATCCTTATCAAGGGCTTGTTCTTTCCATAAATGGTGACTAACGTGACTAATAAAGACTGGACAAATTTTCAGAATGTCGGAATGGGGTTCACATAACATACAACATTTGCCACATATTTAACAAGTGGAACATCATTCTTGGTTTTGATGACAGTGTATAGTTATCAAAGCCTAGTTTGAAAGTTACCCTTCTGTTTTTCTCTGCTAGCCAAATTTTAGTACTATAGGTAATATTTAGATCTCAGATTTGAAATATCAGTAAAAAATGATTCAGTAGGTAATGTTAAAAGATAATTAGGGGTGCCTGGGTGGCTCAGTGGGTTAAGACTCAGACTCTTGATTTTGGCTCAGGTCATGATCTCAGGGTCATGAGATGGAGCCCAGGTGGGGCTCTGTGCTGGGCATGGAGCCTGCTTAAGATTCTCTCTCTACCTCTGCTACCCCCCCCCAATAAAAGTAAAAAACAAAAAATAAAAAAAGATAAAAAATAAATAAAATCATGACACGCACACGTAAGAATGAACATATTTTATGAACAAATGAGGACTCTCTAGGTGTTGCAACCAGTTCAAAGGAAAATCCAAAGAACAGATACATTTATAGATCAGGGATATTGAAATGATTGTGCAGATGGAGGCATGACTGTTTTGTGGGATTTTTTTTTTTCTGGTGAGGGAAGATTTTCTCTCCACTGGACTGTGTTCATGTACATGTCTACAGACAAGGATTATTTTGCATTGCTATCTAGTAATCTATAACTTTCAAAATTACAAAACAGCTCCCATGGAATCAGAATCAGATAACATGAAAGGGTACACTGTAGACAATTCATAGTTTTCCATTAAAGTACAGTTTGTCCCTATAGTAGCTTCTGTTTACGAGGAGAGTGATAACTATGAGTTGATTTTTTAGTAACAGATTATTCTAAATATCAGAAGAAGCACAAAAATGAAAGTGAAGTAAGATTGTATGTTATAAATTGAAGGAAGGACCTGGATTCTTTCTCTACTCTTTCTGGAAGATTCCAGTGAAGTTATGGACAGATGAGGCATTGATGAATAAAATAAAATGTCATTTCTCTCAGTTTTACATTAAATTTTTATGTTGTCTATTTCTATTCATAAAGATACTATGATCAAGCAAGTATTTATGTAAATAAATATATTTAGTATCAATTTCATTTAGGAAAGGGGAAAATATTTAGGAAAAGAAGAACAATCTTAGAATCAAGAATAAAGATAATTAGAATTAGGAGAAATCTCAAGGGCTGAGTTAGTTTCTTCAAAATTATTCTAGTTTGTTGCATTTTCTTGTCCTTCCTGTCCTTTGTTCTAAGATAGAAGTAGTAGTAAACATATAGTAGCTAATCACTTAATCCTTATGTGTTAGATCAGTAACCTCTAAACTTGGTCTTAGAGGGCATGTGGTATGATATCAAACTCTAAGTCATCTAGCAACCCATGTAAATGAAGACTGGATTTCTAAGGATTATTAAAATTGGGGGATCCACATTCACATATTTGAGTAGATGAACCACAAAAGAAATGAGATTCTAGATAAGTGTATTTGAATGGCAGGCTATGGAATATATATATGGCACGGTGCATCTTACCATGATGTAGAGACTTGCTGGATTGTGATCTCATGTGTGACAACGGTCATTAAGACACTAAGCATACCTTTGGCAGTGGGAGAGAGAACTTTCCGATATTGCTCCTCGAAGCATTCACTGTTGTGTTTAGGTGAAGAGGAAGAGGAGGAGGAAGATAAACTACCTCGAAGGGAGAGCTTGAGACCGAAGAGGAAACGGACCAGAGATGTTATCAATGAGGATGACCCGGAACCTGAACCAGAGGATGAAGAAACAAGGAAGGCCAGAGAGAAAGAGCGAAGGAGGAGGCTGAAAAGAGGAGCGTAAGTGAGCTCTAATCTATAACTGAAACTGTGACTCGTTCAAAAGTGCCTAACTCTGAGAGAAGACCACTCCCTTCAGGCACTCTGTGGCCTTAAAACTGGTAATTAAAACAACTTTTAAAAAGACGACAAGTTTAATCCAATGCTGCCATTTTATTCCACCTAGCTAAATGTATTTTAAAATTTAAATACAATTAAAAAATGAATATATGTATTAAGAATGGGCTAAGACAGATTTCCTTACGAGAGATCTAAACAGTCGTAGGTTATTAATATATTAGCGTTCATTTAAATATGTTGAAGTTATTCCATTAATGATAGGCATTGTTATCAAAATTAAGTGGAAAATTCCTAAAAAATGAGCCCAAATCACTTTACCTTATAGAGCAGAGTTTGGCAAAATATGGCTAATTCCAGCCCAAGAGCTAAGAATGGTTCTTACAGTTTTAAAGGGTTGTTGATTAAAAAAACAAAACAGGGGTGCCTGGGTGGCTCAGTCGGTTGGGCATCTGCCTTCAACTCAGGTCGTGATCCTGGGGTCCTGGGATCGAGCCCCGCATCGGGCTCCCTGCTCGGCGGGAGGCCTGCTTCTCCCTCTCCTACTCCCTCTGCTTGTGTTCCCTCTCTTGCTGTCTCTCTCCTTGTCAAATAAATAAATAAAATCTTGAAAAAACAACAACAACAAAAACAAAAACCAACCAACCAAACAAAACCAAAGACAAATATGGGATAGAGCCATATGTGGCTCTCAAAATCTAAAATATTAACTATCTGTTCTTTTACAGAAAAAAAAAAGTGTGCTGGCCCATGTTATGGAGTATTGGGGTCGTCATTTCCTTTTTAACACAACCCTACATCTATCATTTCCACCAGACAAACATTTCACTGAGTGCTGACTTTGTATAAAATAATATATTAAATACCCTTTAGGAAAAAAATCCAAGAAAATAATTTTCGAGTCTTGGCTTTCTGGAAATTTGCAGATGGCAGGCCAGTAAGAAAAGTGTGCATGTGACACACATCAAATAATAGAAAATCTAGACCCCTGGGAAATGTTTTACGAGAACAGCTTCTCTGTTGTTTCCAGGTAGTAGGGCCATGAGGAACCACCATGGGGTGAGGGAATCTCCTCCAAAACATTGCTAGGACTTTGGATGGAGAGGAACTTTCTAAGGTGTCCTCCCCAAATGACACATTCTAGTGTTAACAACTAGCTTTTACTTTCCTTTTCATAAAAAATTGCAATTAAATACAATTGTATGAAAATTTTGGCAGGTAGAGAAGCTTAGCATTGATAGATGATGGTTCCTTTTACAATATAGGAATAAAAGAAAAATGGGGGTGCCTGTTTCTTCATCATAATTTTGTTGATTTCGGTTTTTAAATCTCTCTCTGCCTCTTCCTTTCTCTCCTCCACCCCAAGCTCATTTCTTCCATCTTTGAATACCAAGACACCACCTTCTTTAAATTTTGTCTCTGGTAGGGTGCCTGGGTGGCTCAGTTGGTTAAGCGACTGCCTTCAGCTTAGGTCATGATCCTGGAGTCCCGGGATCGAGTCCCGCAGCGGGCTCCCTGCTCAGTGGGGAGTCTGCTTCTCTCTCTGACCCTCTCCCCTCTCATGCTCTCTCTCACTCTCTCATTCTCTCTCTCTTTCAAATAAATAAATCTTTAAAAAAATAAATAAATTTTGCCTCTGGTATTTTTTTTTTTCTATTTCCTTTTTATGTCTTCTTGTGCTTTTTTTTTAAAAAACAAACAAAAAAAATCATCTCACACTTTTAAGTTCTATGTCTTATTGTTATCACTATTATGATGTAGTAATATTTCCTATTAGCAACGCCTGTGCTTGCTGACGGCGCTGTTTCATCAATAGATGTGTGCATGATGTAGGCTGTGTTCCAGAATTTGCTTTTACTCTCCACTTGTGCCTCAGAGAGGTCCTTTTAAAAAGGTGACTTAGATGAAAATTTCTGTGCTCTCTTGGTCTGCTTAAGGCTCTCAGGTGAACTGCTCAACCCCTAGAGATAGGACCATATGAATCAACTGAATCTCGGCCCCTATCACCTGAGAGAATGTCGTCTCAGTGCCAGAGTCTCTGCCCCTAGCGGGTACCACTCACGTCTTCATTCTGAGAATCCCCCAAGCACCCCTGTCACCTGTCCTCCCCACTTCTCCACACAGCCAAATTTGGCTAAAGTGAACTTTGTCTCCAAAGGTTTTTCAAATTATGTAATTACTGCTGTAATTTGGACAACTAAGCTAAATCATATCATAAATTATTTGTGATGATTGATGATTCATTTTCTCCTGTTCATTTTGAAGATAAGTATTTCTTTAAAGAAAATGTATCAGCAAATATATTTTGAAAAAGTTGTAGGCAAATCAGGGCACATTTATTTAGATTAACCGATTTATGGTCTTTTTAAACTTAAACGTTCAAGTGACACACCTAAGGGAATTTCCCCCACACTGACAAAACATTTGAAGCCAACTAAAACCAGGGTTGTAATGCTAACTATCTTTGGAGACAGTTAAAAAACTCTGCCTCGTTAGACATTTTGGAGGATTTCTAATAATATGACAGGCTTTTCCTGACCCAGTTTTAAGTGAGTAAGAAATATGTTCATAGCAGTGAGCAATTCAGCACATTATGCCTTCCCCCCCAACAACTGTTGTTTAAATAAATCAAACTTAAGATAGAAAGCCATTCTTGCACAGATTAGCCCTACATTTTCGAAGATGAAGCATATCTATGAGATATTCTTTTAACGTGATTAGCACTTTCTTTGAGTGATTCCTGGAAAAGCGATTCCCCTTATATGCTGGCAGAAGTAATATTTTAATTACCTGCCTATTTGAAGATAACTCAGGAAACAACTATACCTGGTAGCACAACATTATCTGTCTGGAGCAATTAACAACAAAGACTTTAAAAATACACCCATCTGGGGTTATTTAGCAGAAGGATTTATTCTTATCTTTCCATACCATACTAATCTTGGAGGACATTGTTCTATGTTAGTGGACTTTGAGTCCTGGATTTATAATGATAACTATGTCATCCAGAAAGATTCTGTACATAAACATTTATTTAGTTAATATTTATCCAGCTCCACTGCTGTGGAAGCTAATTGGCTAATTCCTTTGGAAGACATGGGTATGAATACACAATTGACTGTATTCTCTAGGAGTTCATAATAGAGTAAGGGAGGGGCCACTTAGACTCAAATTATTGTGAAGTAAGACAATATAAATGCACCAAAGAAGAAGGACAAAGTTGTTTGGAGTCTTAGAGAAGACAAAACTATTTGTTATACGGGATGATAAATATGTGGATAATCAGAAAAGGGGGTTATTGAAGAGATTTCTTATAATGTTTTAAGGAATCATAGAATAGGTTAAACACAAAGAACTGGATTTAAGATAGCAGGAAAGCATATAATTAGTGTTAGGAAGATCTCCATTAAATGGTTTCTAAAAATTGGCATGTGAAAAAATAAGCTGTGATTACATGGTAAATCCACATAGCTAACAGATCATTTTTTAAAAATTTTTTGTGACTCTGGATTAAATGAGATACTGTTATAGATATGTTTCTTAACAGGAATTCATTAATATAAAGTTTTAAGACACGTGTAGATACAGTTGACCCTTGAACAGCATGGTTTTGAACTGCATGGGTCCACATACACATGGACTTTTTTCCTTTTTTTTTTTAAAGATTTTATTTATTTATTTGAGAGAGAGAATGAGAGAGCATGAGAGGGGGAGGATCATTGGGAGAAGCAGACTCCCCGCCGAGCGGGTAGTCCGATGCGGGACTCGATCCCGGGACTCGATCCCGGGACTCCGGGATCATGACCTGAGCCGAAGGCAGTCGTTTAACCAACTGAGCCACCCAGGCGCCCCTTTAATTGCAAGGCGCCTGGGTGGCTCAGTCGTTAAGCGTCTGCCTTCAGCTCAGGTCATGATCCCAGGGTCCTGGGATCGAGTCCCACATCAGGCTCCCCGCTCAGCGGAAGACCTGCTTCTCCCTCTCCCACTCCCTCTGCTTGTGTTCCTGCTCTCGTTGTGTCTCCCTCTGTCAAATAAATAAATAAAATCTTTAAAAAAAATTTAATTGCAGTATAGTTAACATACAGTGTTATATTAGTTTCAGGTGTACAATACAGCGATTGACTGATTCTGTATGTTACTCAGTACTCTCCATGCTAATCCCCTTCACCTATTTCCCCCATCTCCCCACCCACCTCCCCTCTGGTGACCACCAGTTTGTTCTCTATTGTTAAGGGTCTGTTTTTGGTCTCTTTTTTTCTTTTTGGTTTCATTCATTTTGTTTCTTAAATCCACACAGGAATGAAATCATATGGCATTTTTCTTTCTCTGACTGGCTTATTTTACTTAGCATTATACTCTAGATCCATCCATGTTGTTGCAAATGACAAGATTTCATTCTTTTTTTCTTGTTCAGTAATATTCCAGTGTACTACATCTATACACGGATACTTGGGCTGCTTCCATAATTTGGCCATTTGTAAATGATGCTACAATAAACATGGTGGTGCATATATCTTTTCAAATTGGTATTTTCATATTCTTTGGGTAAATACCCAGTAGTGAATTCCTGGATCATACAGTAGTTCTATTTTTTAATTTTTTGAGGAACCTCCATACTGTTTTCCAGAGTGGCTGCACCAGCTTGCATTCCCACCAGCAGTGCACAAGGGTTCCTTTTTCTCCATATCCTCGCCAACATTTGTTGTTTATGTTTTTGATTTTAGCTATTAAACAGGTGTGAAGTTATATTTCATCATAGTTTTGATTTGCATTTCCCTGATGATTAGTGATGTTGAGCATCTTTTTATGTGTCTGTTGGCCATCTGCATATCTTTGGAGAAATGTCTCTTCGTGTCTTCTGCCCATTTTTTTAAATTGGATTATTTTCTTTTTGGTGTTGAGTTGTATAACTTCTCTATATATTTTGAATACTAACCCTTTATCAGATTATGTCATCTGCAAATATCTTCTCCCATTCCTTAGGTTGTCTTTCAGTTTTGTTGATTGTTTCCTTTGCTGTGCAGAAGCTTTTTATTTTGATGTAGTCTCAATAGTTTATTTTTGCTTTTGTTTCCCTTACCTCAGGAGACATATCTAGAAAATGTTGCTACAGCTGATGTCAGGGAAATCACTCTGTTGCTCTCTTTTAAGATTTTTATGGTTTCAGCCCTCACATTTAGGTCCTTAATCCATTTTGAGCTTATTTTTGTGTATGGTACAAGGAAGTCATCCAGTTTCATTCTTTTTCATGAAGCTGTCCGGTTTTCCCAACATCATTTGTTGAAGAGACTATCTTTTTCCCATTGCAGATTCTTGCCTTACATGGATTATTTATAATAAATATAGTATAGTACTGTAAATGTATTTTCTCTTCCTTACGATTTTCTAACATTTTCTTTTCTCTAGCTTACTTTATTGTAAGCATACAGTATGTAATACATATAACCTACAAAATATGTGTTAATTGACTCTTTATGTCATTGGTAAGACTTCAGGTCAACAGTAGGCTATTAATAGTTAAGTTTTGGGAGAGTCTAAAGTTATATGTGAATTTTCGACTGCCCAGTGGTGAGCATACCTAAGCGCCTTGTTATTCTAGGGTCAACTGTACTGTGAGTTTTTTTGGAAGGATGGGCAAGTTAAAAACTTAAAATATCAAGCAGTTGGATTATCTGAAATCTTTTTGTTGCTCTTTTTTTTCTAATTGAATTCATTTTAGTAGTTTCTTTTTCTTTTTTTTTAAAGATTTTATTTATTTATTTGACAGAGAGAGACACAGCAAGAGAGGGAACACAAGCAGGGGGAGTGGGAGAGGGAGAAGCAGGCTTCCCACTGAGCAGAGAGCCTGATGCAGGGCTCGATCCCAGGACCGCGGGTTCATGACCTGAGCTGAAGGCAGACGCTTAACGACTGAGCCACCCAGGCACCCCCATTTGTAGTAGTTTCTTGACATATTTTCTTTTCCTTTTGATAGTTTCCATAACGATTTCAATGAAACAGTTAACTATATAATCTAGACTTAGTCTATGTCTACATGGAAACAATTTTTTGAGTAATCTTAAAAAAACAATCTTTTCTTTCAACTGAAGTATAATTGACACACGATGTTACATTAGTTTCAGGTGTACAACATAGTGATTTGACAAGCAAAACAATCATTTTTACTAAAATATATGTTTTCCTCTTATGACAAACCAACACACACATTATTATTCTGATTGGCAAATTAAGCAAACAACAACTGTGAATATAGACGTAGTAAAAATGTTCTCAAGTATTTTATGTCATAGTTGTGCAGCGCTGTAAGATTTTATATACTAAACATCAAATAATTTAAAGGGAAACAACCTAATGGCAATCAGATTTGTATTTTAGAGTGTACTTCCATAGTTCCCTTACTGTGAATTGCTATTCTAAGCCAAATATCTGAATTGGTCAAGAAATCAAACTGTCAACAGGAAGTGTTATTTTAGAAAATTAAGGTGAGTCTTTATTTCATGACATGATTAAAAACTGGGTTGGTGGGAAAGAAAGGAGGAGGCAAAGTCATTTTGCACGGTGGGCCATAAAACCATGGCTATGTCCTCCTGTTCCTCAGCGGGAACTTTCAAAGGCAGCCATGCCATAGTCCTACTGTGTGGAGTCGGGACGAGTAGAGTGAGCAACAATGTTTCTGACTAAGGCTGAGTCAGATTACAATTTGTCAGTCAGGGTTTAGTTAGGAGAAAGAAACTTCAGCACTTAATTGAACAGAAAGTATTTACTCAGAGAACTGATGAGTACGTATAAATAATTGTAAACTAGGTTACTGGAAAGGTGACAAGAGAACACTTAATGTGTCATGGTGACAACAAGTATGAGGAGAAGCTACCACTCCAGAGGCTGGAGGAATGGTGGAAAGGGGTTGAAATTTAAACTTTGAAGCATAGAGGAAGGATGCCAGGGGCTGAAGCTACTGAGGAGGGGGTGATGCTAAAGGGATTTGGTTTCTTTGGGAGTGGCGATGAAGCTGATTCTGTGAGTGTTGGAAAAGTTGGCAAACTAGATTCACCCGCAGCTGTGGGAAGGCCCTTCAGTTAGTGGGGTGAAGAGGAATTACTAAGGAGGATCTGCCACCCCAGGAAGCCAAAGGAAAGCCTAAGTCCCTTCTTGTTATCTTCTGTTGGTGGCCTACCATTGAGCCGGCCAACAAGCAGAAGGGTCCCCTATAGAGTCCCAGCTCCAGCATCACAATATTTACTATAGAAGTGAGTTTGAAGTTGAGTGACAATAACTTAATAAATAAAACAATCTATCACTAAAACAATTGATCGTTACAATAGGGCATTTCATTCCTCGATTTAAAATCATGTTGTTCATGTTTAGATTTTTTTGTTTTGTTAATTCTAGACTACGTGGTATTTTTGCAGTCCTAGGAATATAGAAGAGAAAAGATACATCTCATTTGCTCAGTGAGAAACTAAATTCCTTTGAAGGTCTTTTCAAAGGATTCACTTCCACCAAATATACTTCAAGTTGAATTTTATCAACTGAAGTTTTGAATTTAATTAGCAGATTAAGTTACCTTTGAGAAATAGATTTTTTATTTTCCCCTAATTCAATTTTTCTCTTTCTCTTGAGACATGGCTAACAAATTTGTAAGGGCACTTCAAAGACATCTTCACCTCTGATGTACTATCCTTATCGAAAAGTAACGTTTTTCAATGAAATGAAGAATTGATGGGGAAAGTGTACAAGGGAACAAAGAAGAGAGGAAAATATGTTGATAGATCTGGAACTAATCTTCCACAGATTTTTTTCATCCTGAGACTTTGAGGCTGTGGATGTAAAACAGTTTCAGGACTTCAGAATGTAAACACTATTGTTTAAAGTTATAATAATTCCAGAAATCCTGTATCAGCATTCACATAGATACAAGCTCTAACGCTTATAAATCTCAGCATCCACTATGTACAGCCAAGCTGATTCACATTGACTGAGTATCGGATAGCATTCTTCTTTAAGTTTGGAAATCAAGGAAAACTTAACTTTTTTTTTCCCTTTTAAAGGGAAGAAGAAGAAGAAATTAATGAAGAGGAATTGGAAAGACTGAAGGCAGAGTTAGATGAGAAAAAACAAATGATTGCTACTGTCAAATGCAAGCCTTGGAAAATGGAGAAGAAAATTGAAGTTCTCAAGTATGATGCCACTTTTTGTAATTAAACATACTTTCCCTGATTGCTGATCTCCTAAATCCTCTGAGAATTACCTATATTTTATACATAGTGCTATCTATAGTATATCACATATATAAAATACTCATTATTATATATAATATTCATGGTCATAGACACTATACAGCATAATATATATGTTAATGTCATGTATGTGAACACATCATATATATGTACATATATGCTTATATATTGTCATCATTAGAGAGACTGAACTAATGATTATATTTTTGAAAAAACTATGAGCAAATTCATTGTTCAGAGTCTTATAACCTCTGGTCACTTTTAGTTATTTGTTCCTTGAACTGAGACTTTCTTTAGTTTAATACGTTCATTCCTATCTCTCTGTAAGAGATAATATATTTGACTTTTACACGTTTGTGTGGCTTGCACATTCATGTTTCTCTGCAGGGTCCCAGCCTCAAATGATATAATCAGGTGACAGCTCTCTTTAAAGCACAGGGATGATATTAAGCCAACAGAACAGTACACAGGATTCCAATTAAGGATTATGCTAAATAGCTATTCCATGGTGACATGTCAGTGACCCAATTTCAGTCTTCCGTTGGGTGTTGGTGAGAGTAAAACACACTCAGAGGCACATAGATTTGCCAACTCCCTATATGAAAAGACAAATGATTCTTTCTGAGGAATGCGAGCAGATTTACTTCTGATCACTTCTGAGGATCACACTCTATTTCCATGCCAAGGTTGTTGGGGAGGTGAGGCGTGACTATGAGGGAATGTGTCTGTAATAACAAGCATGTTTATATCTTTCAGTTGTGCTACCGATTGCATTTTTCTGCAGAACCACTTTTGTAAATGGTCGTAAATTGCCAAAGCTGTCTTTCCACCGGGATATTGAGCTAATAATGTTAAATATTATGGTATAGTATCATTGTCTTCGGTGATGAAAAAAAGAACTGAAGTAGTTATGAGGATATTTCACTTCTAATCTTAGCTTTGCAAAAAAGTAGGTGTTATTTAAGGACATTGCTTAAGCTTCTGGGGCCTCAGTTACCTCATATCCAAAATAAAACAAGATATTCTAGATCTATCCTGTGAAATGGGAACCTAGCCATCATTTATAATGGCATCGTTTTGTTTTGCGGAATGAAGTTTTCCAAGTTCCAAACAACGGTCTTCCCAGCAAAGTTCTAGAACACCACAGTTGTAGGCTGGGAACTCCATGTGCATTGGACACACCAGCCATGAATGAAAGCAAAGACAAACAGGGTGCCTGGTTCCATGGAGCGAGTCATGTGTGTGTGTGTGCATATGCACGTGTGTGGGTATGTGTGCATGTGTCTGTTAAAATAGTTTTCATTCAGTGAAGTGATAATGATGCCAAATTATAGGTTTAAAAATGTCCTTACTTGACAAAATACAAGTTTGGCAACCACCTTATGTTACTTCCGAAATACATTTTGAAAAGTTACTGGCCATAAAGTCCCCCCAAACTGGAAACCACAGGTAACTGTGTGTAGAACATTGTCACATTGGAAAGCGGTAATACTGTGAAATTTCAAAGCATGGTGTGAAATTGAGTAAGAATGCCAAAGAGTGGATCTTCCCTTTCTACCTACAGAAGGCATAGAAATACCCCCTACTCTCCCTTTTCTCTATCTCCCATGTAGGGCCTCGGAGCAGGAGTGGGCTTCTGATTTCAGTTTGAATCTCAGACCTTCCACTTAATAGCGGTGCAAATTTGAATGAATTGTGTAGCTCTCTGCCATTCAGGTTCCTTATGAAATTATGCTAATTTACAGGGTTATTGGCATCATAAAGTGAGATAATTTACATAAAACACTTAGCACGGCGCCAGAACACATCACATTGCTGGGAAGCACAAATTGTAATTATTATTTCCTCTCAGTACAGAGTCAATGATGCCTGGTCCCCTGCAATGTGACAGGAGAGATGGAGAGAGCATGAGACAGGCAGGGCTGGGTGGAAGCAGACCTAGCCAGGGACAACCTCGGGAACCCTGGGGGATGGTGACACATTGGTAGCAGTCTAGATGGGCAACCGATTTTGACATTCCAACAAAGAACAGAGCATCTTGATAATTTGGCAGAATCTGGGGCCAAACTACGTTCAGGTCTTCCAAATGTACCCAGGGTAATCCTGTGGCAGATTCCAGGACCTGGAGCCTTGAGCTGAGTCCAGGAATGAACCCATTTTTGGGAGGGGGGGAGAGAGAGGGATTGGGGTGGCAGTAAGAGAATACCAGGACCTATTGCTAGGGCAGAGATTGAATATGGGGAGTCTGCAGCTCAATCCAGGTCTTAGGTCTGAATGTTAGGTTTTTAATTGGCCCACATGATTTTTGTTTCTTTTTCTTTTATTATTTTTTCATTTTTCATTCATATATATATATATAACATAAAATTTGCCATTTTAACCATTTGGGGGTATTTTTTTTTATAACATTTTTTCTTTGTTGTCAAACATTGAAAAGAAGGAGATTTCACATTAAAAAAAATCCAGGGGTGCCTGGGTGACTCAGTTGGTTAAGTGTCTGACTCTTAATCTCAGCTCAGGTCTTCATCTCAGGGTCATGAGTTCAAGCCCCACATTGGGTTCCACGGTGGGCATGGAGCCTATATGTATATAAAAAAAAAATCCATACGTCCAGCTTCTGCTGGACAGATGGAGGATCTGGACCCTCATTCCTTCAGGGAAATAGCAGCTGGGACTTGGCATTCACTTTCAGTGTACACAGTTCTCAGACAATCCACATCAGCTGCTCATGCTACTTGGTTAAACCTTGCATGCATTCCAGTCTGCTGCCTCCTACCCGTGCAGCAAGGGAGCAAGTTAGGCATGTTACCAAGACAGTGATTCAGAACGTCAGCTTCAAAGCCAGCTTGCAGAATGGAAGCACAGATGCAGGCCCAGAGAGAAACAACTATGGCTTCTTACCTGTCGGTAATGCTCACTATCTTGGGACGATTCTCCATGGCCAGAAGTGGGTCCTGCTTTGTAGCTTTGCAATTCTCTGCACAGCTGGTGCTGGTGGTCACGGTCATCCTGATTCCCTTGATTTCAGCCTCTGTTATGAAACTGTTGGCACTATGGTGCCCGGGCTGTCTCCCCTTGTGGGTTTCTGAATGTTGTATTGAGCTTCTCCCTCATGGATTTCAATCACATTATTAGAGCAAGCGGTCAATATTTTATAGTAGAGGTAAAGGTTTCTCTGCCCCAACATGGAAGTCAGGGAGCTTTTCTCCTACACTTTATGTCTTTCAGGGACGTCTAACTCTGAGAGAATCTTTCTGAGGATTATGTTATTCCCAGAATTTACCTCTAGTCATCAATCTTCGCTAAGTATATGGAATCCAAGGCACTAGGCTCAATATAACTAGAGCAGATACTTTGATCATAGGTTTGGATCTGCACCGAGGTTCCAAGGCTTTCCATCTGGCTCTGGACTCTGAAAAACTGGTGAAACTTCTAAGACAGATTTAACAGAGGGTCAGGCTTTCAAGATGTGTTTTAGAGTAAAGCATTGGGAATAGTAGCTTATTCCAAGGATGCTGTCGGGGCTGGGGTGGGGTGGTGCCCGGGGGTAGTTCCCACATTCTGAAAGAGGATCTACCCCTAGCAATGTGAGCATCTCCAGAGCTGAGGGCCAAATGACAGTTAAAATAAGCAGTTAATAATAGGCATGAAGCCCTAAAAATGGGTTGTTAATCCCGAAGGACTCTCAAATATGGCTCAGGAATTGGAGCTTGGCATTTTCAAGACCAGCAGTATTGGCTTTTTCTGACTGAGGAGAAGCTACATCCTTTCCACTGTCGCTGTGGAACTATGTTTTTCAGTGTCTTTTCCTGTGTGTTAACGCAGTTTTGTACATTCATGTGGCCTTAAACCTGTTGAATGATAATCTCTGGGTGGGAGGGCAGATGTGTCTGTCCCAGACTACTATATGCATATTTTTGTTTTCTGCTCTGAAAGTCCTTGATATACAGTCATGTCTTTTGATTCTGAGAAGCAGAAAAACCTCAGTAAGCAGAACGTCCTACTCCATAAACTGTTTATTGAATGGGTGAGAATATGTTGAGGGGGTGGGACAGGGGAAGAGAAATCCTGGTGTATTTTCCAACTATTTGAAAGTCAATTTCTATGTTTTATTAGTAACTAACCAAAAAAATATCCAACAGCGAGGATTTTAGGCATAATTTGTTTTTAAGTTGTTCATGGGTTTCCCTCAAGTTGGTTGACCAGATAGATCATTCCTCCCTGTAATATGTGGCTGCACTAACAGGTAGCAACCACCACAGGTGATATAAAACACCTGGATGGAAAATAACCGGTCTACTTATTATTCATCCTGAAACCTCAAACCTGACTGTACCAGAGCATTCTACCAGGACTAGATTTAAAGCCTGCCTGACTACACCTGAAAAAGCAACCATTTTATTTTGTTCCAGTAGGGTAGGTTGGGGATTGAAAATTAAGAGACGTGGACTCGGGGCTAAGTTCTACCTCTAACCTCACCTCTCTGAGCCTCATGGATTTATTTATACAATGAAGGGATTGGATTGTGGCTGGTGGTTTTCAGACTGCTTTCCTCAGAGTTCCAGCGGTTTGGTGAAATCCTTTCAGGGCAAGGGAGCAGAGGTTAATTAAGAGTGGTGCTTGGCTACACCACCAGCTTCGAGCAGAGACTTCACGGTTTCCTTCTTCTACACAATGTACTTGTGTATAAAGCACCTGTTTGAAGGAAAAAAAAATGCTTCTGTGCCTATTAATACAAGAAATAATTAAAAACCCTCACTCAATTGATTATTTAAAGAAGCTGATTTTGGGGAGGGAGCAGTTCTCACATTTCATGGGCCTACAAAGCAGGGTATGGGAATACTTCAGTATACTTTTGCATCGAAATGGCTCTTGGGTAGAAGCCCTTTTAAATTTATTTATTTTGATAACAACCATGTTTACTTAGCTATACCGACTGC